GGTGAAGATGCTGCTATGTGGACTGGGGAAGGTCCAGTCATGAACATGGATGCTGTCACTGAGAGCCCTAACCATTAGGTCTCCAGGCCCTCCTTGGCTCCTCTGGGGGAACCTGCTGGGGCAGCAGGTGCTCAGTGAACTGCAGGGCTGCCTTCTGAGATGGGGAGGGCTGGGGAGCCTAAGGCAGGAGCCTCTCCTCTCTGGGCAGACCTGGAGGCTGGACAGTGAGGGAGAACACTGGGCTGCCTGCGTTGTTCTCACTTGGCTACCTCTCGGGCATGGAGGCTTCTGGGAGGGGGGCCCCTTGGCGTGCTGGCGGAAGGGGCCTGAGGTGGATGTGGTGGTGGGTGGCATTTCTTTCTCTCCACTCTACAGTGCCCACATGGCTGGGGCTGGGTACCTGCTCCCTGGGGAGGCCGGGGGCTGCCCAGGGGCCTCCAGGAGCCAAGGGTGGAATGCAGCAGCCCACTGTCTACTGGGGAGTTCCTCCGCAGTTCCTCTGGGAGATGTTGGCTGGGCTGGACGCACCCCAAGCCCAGAGCTTGGGTCCCCGGGGAGGCGTGGCCACTCCAGCTTTCAGTCCTCCTGCCAGGGCTCTGCCTAAGCACCCCTCACTTGTCTGTCCCTCCATCACTCTTCCCTCTCCCCAGTGCACCTTGAGTCCCTCACAGGCAGGACCCTGGTCACATTTCCCCCTTTCTCCCCAGTGCGTAGTGGGGTGTGTCCAAGGCCAACTGGACTGGGGAAACAGACCTTTCAGCGCTTGTCCTCGAGTGTCAGAACTTTGGTCCAGCTCCCTGGAATGTCAGTTCAGAGTGAAATCTGCATGTGTGGTTTTTTTTTTTTTTTTTTTTTGGTGATGGTGTGTGTCCAGGGGTGGGGTTTCTCTGCCCCTCCTGGACTGAGGGCTTGGGGAGCACTGGGGCCTTCTTGCCACCAAAGTGTAGGCCCCTTGGAACATAGGGACTGCCTTTTGGGGGCATGCCACTTAGATACCTGCTTCCTATAGAGGCCAGGGGTTGAGTTGGCTGTGGCTCAGGGACATAGCAAGCCTCTTGCCCAGGTGGCTGGGGGGCATGCTCCCCTCAGGGCTGTCAGGCGGCAAGTATGAGGGGCCAGTGCAGCACCCCAATCTCAGTATCTTCCTCTCCTGCCAGGATGGACGCGTGGGCTGGAGGTCAGGGGGAGCCCACTGTGCATGGATGCCCTGGCTCTGTGAGTGTGGGCAGGAGCCCTGTGTCTATTAAAAGGCAGCCTGTGGTGGGAGTGTTGCCAGAGGCTATAAATAGCTGAGTGTGTGCAGAAGCAGAGCACCAGGGAGGAGAGAGGAAGGGGGGAGGCCCCAGCATCTCCAGCTGGCAGCAGATCCTGGTGTGGTGTGGGAGGGACATGGAGTCTCCCAGTCTCCTCAGGTCTCCTCTTCGGCTCTGAATGCAAAGCTCTTGCAGGCATGGGAGTGCATGCTCCCAACCTGGTGGGCAGGGGGCCCTCCAGTGGGGCTTGTGTTGTGAAGGGTTGTCATAGGCAGCAGGGGAGGGTATGGCTCCAGTATAACAACTAACATGCCATGCATTATGCTGACCATTCCTAAAATGCATTAACCCATTTTGCTCCTGGAAAAGGTGCTGTTATTATCCCCTTTTCACAAGTGGAGAAACAGGCATAGGGTGGTTGGGTGACTTGCCCAGGGTCACACAGCTAGGAACTGTCAGAGCCAGGATTTGAACAGTCTGGCCAGCTCATGGCTGCCCTTTTCTCAGTCACCTGTAGGAGGATCTGGTCAGATGGGGGTCCAGTGACATCCTGAACCCTTGGGTCCTACCTGGAGCCTTGAGATTTGGAGTTCCCAGCCCTGTGCACTTGGGTCCTGCCTATGGTAGTGGCCAGGGGGGTCCCTGCCTGATCAGTGGCCTGGAGAGGAGCTGGGCCAGCCTTGGGCCGCTCTTGATGTCTGTCAGCCTTCCTTATTCGGGTTCCTAGCCTTGCATAGGGGGCTTGTTGCTTGTTGTCTGAATGGAGATGGGAACTCCTCTAGGACCCTAGGGCTTGGGCTGCAGGCTGAGGCCACCCCTCCTGTTGTCCTCTCCCTTCGAAATCCTGCCCTAGTCAGGAGATAACTATGTCCTTCTGTCCGTCCATTGGTCTTTCTGTCATCTATCTGTCCATCATGTGTCTGGAACTAGCGCTCAAGACAGTCAAGGCTTCTGCCTTCATCAACTTTGCAGTCTTATGGGGGAAGCCTGACATTTGAAAAGCAATTGTCAAGTACATTTGTAATGTTTTATTTCTTATGTAAGTGTTCATTATGTTATTTTCTCTTGGGGATTATCTTTGGTTACATTATTTTTACACTTTTTGAATGTCTGAAATATTCCTTTATATAACAACAGGCATTTTGTCAAGGGTCATAAGTTAGGTGATGGAAGAAGCACAAGGGCCTGTGGAAGTAGAGGTTGCCTGGTCTCTGGGGAGAGGGAGGAGCTAAAATTTAAAGGAAAAAGTAGGGAGCATCTTGTAGCCAGAGGTAGTCACTCGTGCTAAGTCCAGAAGCCGAGCATATTCAAGGGCCTGGCAATGTAGTGTGACTGTATTGAGGGAGGGAAGGTGGGAGAGCAGCCAGCTCCCCTGTCTGCAGCCCAGCTTGGGGGTCTGGCCCTCCAAGTCTGAAGTCTTTGGGGACCCCCATGAGTATCGCTGCTGTGGATGCAGCGGGCCTCCTGCTGGCAGAGGAGGCTTTGTGCGCTCTGGACTGGGTGCTTCACGTAGCTCAGCCACTGGGTGCTGCTGCAGGTGGGCAGGAGGCCTGTGGGCATTGTAGGTGCCAGCCTGGGTCCTGGCCCCTGGTGTGCTTGCTCCGCTGTTGTTCTCCCATGCTCCTGTTCCCTCAAGTTCTTCCCTTAAACCTAACCCTTGCGCTGGATGAAGGGCCTGGCTGAGGGAAGCCCATGTGTATCCTTGCACGAGCCCCTTTGTGAACCCTTAGGCCCTTCCTGTGGACCCAGCTGGGTACCAGCTGCCTGGGTGGGCGAGAACCCACTCTTTTTCTTCTTACTAGTGTCCAAGTCTGGGTCCCATGACATTAGATGGCTAGGGCCATGGCTAGACACTAGCATTCTGGTTGGGTGATATTCTGAACCCTTGGGTCCTACTTGGAGCTTTGAGATTTGCTGCTTCACCCTGGCCAGGTCCCTCTAGAAGGAGCCTCCCATCACTGCAGGGAGATGGAGAAAGGGTGGGGTCTGACTAGAGAATGGCCACTCCTGTGATGGGGGCCCCTCCCACCTGACAGCCAGTCATTGTCCTTCTCCCTGGGGGTACCATGAGATATCAAGCTCTTTGCTCATGATGGACACTGCTGGGGGTGGAGTGGAGGGTGAGAGAGGTCTTGGCCTATCCAGGGTTCAGGGCACTTTGCCCACCCTGGTTGGAGGGGGTGGTCTTCTTGCTGCTCCAGCCAGCCTTTCAGGCTGATGGTGAAGCAGGGCTCCTGGCTGTTGGCGGGCTGGCTGGCTGTCCTCTGGGGGTGAGTGACCCTCCTTCCTCCTTCCTGGGGTGGGAATAGTTGTAGGGGAGACCAGCCTGGGTGGTGTCAGGTCACCGGCCCATACTATACCCAAGAGGTGTGGAGAGGATAGAAGGATGCTTTCTGGAGGTGCTGGTTTACTCTCAGGAGCGTGCGAGTTCTGGCAGTGAGGTTGTAAATGCCGCTGCTGCCCTTGATCAGGAGTGCCCCATGAAGGGACGATGGCAGGACACCCCTGAATGGTGGTTCGGGAGCTCTTCAGCCCGGGCGTCAGGTACAGGAGTCACAATCTGTTTCCTAGCAACCTCCTTTGGCGTCTCCTTCCTCCTTCCCATCACAGGGCTGTGAGGGTCTCGGGGGCAGTGGGGCAGATTTAGGGGCTGGGCCGGGGGTGGTGGTTTTGGAGGGGATGGTGAGAAAGATGAATTTGGTGAACGTTTGAGGCCATGTTTGAAGGGGCAGTTGGGGGTCCAGTGTTCAGCCACCTGGATGGCACTGGTGCAGGGGGTGGAAGAGGGCACAGGAGTGGGTAGGGAGTGCCCACAGGGGTCCTCAGGGGCCAAGCCCAGCTGGGGGATCATCTGTTATCGCTGCTCAGCCACCAGGCAGCCTTCCCTCTGTTTGGGGCACATGTTCCCTGTGGTGGCTCTGGGAGTCTTACCCTGACAGGGCACGAGGGCCTGATTCTTTATGACCTTCTGCAGCCCTGCTGAGCACCAGGAGTGGTCGCTGGGTGGGGAAAGGGCACTGGAGGGTCCTTGTTTCCCATCCAGTCTGGGCAAGGGCGCATGGGGGACACACCAGTAGTGTCACCCTGGGGGGCTGTCTCGTGAGCGTAGGCCGAGGCAGAGACAGCAGCAGGGGCCCTTTGAGGTCTGCGTCAGAATCTTCGGAGGCAGACAGGGTGCTTAAAAACGTAGATTCTGCTCCCGTTCCAGCTGGTGGATAGGTCTGGTCTGGGCCCCACCCCTACACACGCAGGGGTTCTGATGTGTTCTGGGGTTTTGAGGGTCCCTCCATTAACTGCTGCTGCGGGGAAGCAGCCCCTGCCCAGGAGCCTCAGGCATTGGTGGAGCCCCTTTTTGTGCATCTGGCCTTCAGTCGGGCTTTTTTTCCATCCTTTTGTGGTGTTAGGTTTGCCACCTTCTCCCTCTTGATTGGGCCTGGGGGAAGTTGGCAGTGGGGAAAAATGAGATGGGGGCTGGTGCTGGCTGGCACACAGTAAGCTGAGAGGTGCTGAATGGGTGGGTGGCGTGGGGCCTGGCACCCACCACCCAGCCTCCCTCGGGTGGCCTGGGCAGGACGGGGACCCGGGTGTGGGAGGTTTCGAGGTCTCAGGTCTCACGGGCCCTCCATGGCGGATTTCTCCCCGGCTCGCCACTGCCACGACCATCGTCCTCCCTCGGGTGGCCTGGGACTCTGGACAGGGAGCAGGGGTCTGTGAAGTGCTCAGCAGTCTCTCACCTCTGGGGCACAGGTTCCGGGCGTGGGGAGGCCGAGACACGGGAGTGCATCTACTACAACGCCAACTGGGAGCTGGAGCGCACCAACCAGAGCGGCCTGGAGCGCTGCGAGGGCGAACAGGACAAGCGGCTGCACTGCTATGCCTCCTGGCGCAACAGCTCTGGCACCATCGAGCTCGTCAAGAAGGGCTGCTGGCTGGATGACTTCAACTGCTACGACAGGTACCACTGGGGCCCACCCTCCCCTCCTGGCCACCTCTCCTCTCAGTTCCACTGGGGCCTGCTGGCCCGTACACTGCCCACTGGGCCGTGTGGGTCTCAGGATGTCTGTGAAACTGAGCCTGGCATTTAAGGGCAGGAGGAGAAAGACCAGAGGTTCTTGAGAGAGCTTGGGCAAGTAGGGATGGTGCCAGGGTCTCAGCCCTGCTGGAACTGTGTTTGCCCTGCCCCAGTCCCAAGGAGGGCTCTCAGTGAGTGTTAACTCCTGGCTGTCCCTCCCCGACTTTGGGTCCCATTTTAGGGGAGGTGGGTTCACATTGTCCCCCTGCTGGTTCCCCCGTGAGGTTCTTTGTCTGTGGGGAGGAGTTTGGCTGGGCGGGCCCGAGAGTCTTGCGTCCCTCAGCTGAGGGAGTTATGGAAAACTGTGTGCTTCCAGGCAGGAGTGTGTGGCCACCGAGGAGAACCCCCAGGTGTACTTCTGCTGCTGTGAAGGGAACTTCTGCAATGAGCGCTTCACCCACTTACCGGAGGCTGGGGGCCCGGAAGGTGAGGGGCCCATGGGAGGAGCAGACTCGGGCCTCTCCTTGGCCCTGGAGCTTTCAGCTCCTGAGTTGGGTGGAGAGTGGCTGTAGGGCTCTCTGGTCTGGCACTGGAGGTGTGGGGGTGGGCGGGCTGTGTGACACAGGGCTCCGTGTGTCCCCCAGTCACGTACGAGCCACCCCCGACAGCCCCCACCCTGCTCACGGTGCTGGCCTACTCGCTGTTGCCCATTGGGGGCCTCTCCCTCATCATCCTGCTGGCCTTCTGGATGTACCGGCATCGAAAACCCCCCTACGGCCACGTGGACATCCACGAGGTGAGAAGGCTGGTTTGGGGCAGGGCAAGGGTAGAGGTGGGGAGGCCAGGCCAGACGCTGTTAAGCCCTGATCTCCATCAGGACCCTGGACCTCCACCCCCATCCCCTCTCGTGGGCCTGAAGCCACTGCAGCTATTGGAGATCAAGGCTCGGGGACGCTTTGGCTGTGTCTGGAAGGCGCAGCTCATGAACGACTTTGTGGCTGTCAAGATCTTCCCACTCCAGGTGTGTGTGTGAGGGGCTCTGGGTCATCCACCCCTGCTGTGGCCTGAGCTTTCCCACCCCAGGGCGGTTCAGGCGCTGTACAGGTGGGATGAGAGAGAGGTGGGCCCCATTGGGGGTGGTGAAATTTCATCACAGGGCTGGGGGAGGGCTTTGCAAAACCTCAATCCACTCTGACTTTCAGGGTTTTTTTTTTTTTTTTTTTTTTTTTTTTTTTTTTTTTTTT